TAAATTTGAGCCTCTCTAGAATGTAACGTGGGTGTGTACGATAATTTTCCTCAAGATACGATAATTCTGAGCTGCTGATACGATAATTCAACATTTCCCATCTGGCAACACTGCTGCAGATCTGCTGCCACTCCACATCGCAGAAAAGGTAAGTTTCAATTAACAGCTTGTTAATTTAACCTGTTAAAATGAAGARGTTAGTTTGACTGATGATTAGTATCATTTTAGGGTCACTGATTACGGGTCAAAAACATACAAATTGTCATTATTAATTGTTATATCTCAGCTAAATGTCACAATTAAGCATTTTTTGGCTACACAAAATGGATGTTACATGTTAAAAWATTAAAATAACCTGAATGTCATCGCCAGTATTAACTTTAATAATTTTAACTAAAGGTATGTGAGTAGAATGTATCGCAGCCTTTTATAGGAAGTACAAAGAGTATCTTTACCTACAAGCAAAATGACAATTATGCAAAAGTTCAAGGAGTTTTTCATAATAATAATAATAATAATAATAATTTCTGTGAAATCCATGAAAGCCTCAGAGATTGTTTGCATACCTTTCATACGTGGCTTTGGACAGGTCGGACACCACTGCTTGGAAGTCCGGGTTCTCGGTTTGTTCACATTTCAGTTTGTTAAACAGCGACTGTCCGTGAAAGATCAGACTCTGCCTCAACAAGTCCCTGTCCATCCTGGCTTTATTTTCTCCTCACACCGCGCAGTCACATTATCACAGTAAACACACTCTGCGCCACGCACGCTCTTCTTAACAAATAAAAGTCTTTGAAATAGGTTTTAACTTGACTTGTTGGTTCATAAACACGGGGAATTATAAATATGTTAGAAAATTAATACTAGTTTGTAACCAAACTACAACATTGCTCTAGTCTGCGCTGCTCGAGCTACTAAATAAAATGTGCTAACGAYTCGGAAAATGCTTTTTTCTTCTGACCAACCTCTTTTACAAACAACTCGCAATGCTCCTGACACTTTAAAATACAAGCATCTGCATTATCTCCCGCTAAAGAAAATAACAATACATGTATATATATTCGAGTTCCCAGCCAAAGTAAATGCGACTGCTCAAATTTCCAAACTTAGCTAGCTCGAAGGTGTGCGGTGTGTCGCGCTAAAATTCCCGACAGAAACAAACGCTGACTAGGAACCTTCCTGACCGCAGATGAATACAGTGTGTTTATAAATAACACACACACACACACACACACACACACATATATATA